TCCTCCTCTTCCTCTTCCTTCTTCTCTTCCTCTCTCTCCCTCTCTTCCCCCTCTCCCAGTCAGTAACGGTCCCCTGCTGTGGGCTCCACAGGGGCCGGCGGGCCGCCCGCCGAGGAGGAGATGCCCGAGCTGTCCGACGGTGATGAGGCCTGGGAGGAGGAGGAGGAGGAAGGTGCCGCCGCCGAGGGCCTGCGGACCCGCTGTCTCTTCTGCGACAGGTTGTCCCTGCGCTCCCCCCGGCCCGGCCGAGGGGCCTCTTGAGGCCGCGGAGCCCCTTGGAGAGGGGGGGCTGGGGTGCGAGCGCCCAAACGCAGCCTGAGGGAGGCAGCCCCGTCAGAAAAATAGCTAATACGTGGTTTGTAACAGTGCTCTGTGGCTTGTTGATCTTATGTGCGGTCCCTCTGGGGCTAAAAGTCTGATGTACGCTAAACGAGGGAGAAGTAACGCGGAAAGCAGATAATTCCCCTCTCCTCGCCCTGAAACAATATCGAAGCTTTTCTCTTGAACTTTCTCTTGAATTTTCTTTTCCTGTTATCAATAAATAGATGAGGATTTTTATTTTGACGCAGCAGATCTTGCTGGCTAACTCACCTCGTATACGTGTGGTTCTGAGATTTTGGGTTTAATGCTGGCTTTGCTCTCAAAGAGTTTTTGAAAGTTAGTAGGGTTTGTGGAACAATTTTTTTGTGTTTGTTACCTTTTGTTGCAAAATGTTTTGCAAACAGGGTGAAAGCTTCTTTGTGAGGTATGTGAGGAAGTCGGTGCCTGTTCATCCTTTCCTAAAGGCAAAAATGATGTGTTCTGAACACATTGCCTAGCAGGTCAGAACAGAGCATATAAAACTTACGAGTGTTACAATTTCTAAGCGTGTTAACACTGCATATTTAATAATTCGTTTTTTATAGGTTGTTTAGTTCTGCTGAAGGTGTATTCTCCCACTGCAAAACAGACCATCACTTTAATGTTTGCAATGTAATCAACAAACACGGTAAGTTTTTTTTTCACAACTTGTTATTTCCTTCTGCGTATCAGCATCTTGTTTAAAATAAATCACAAAGATTAGCTTATTTCTAACTGATTTCCTGGTTGCAGCTGAAGATTCCAAGATGGAACAAGATAAGCAATTGTAGAAAAATGCTTATACGTTATCTTTATGCTGGCTGTTTCTTGTATGCTTTATCTACTGGCAAAGCTTTTGGCTAGTAACAAAAGTAAGACTGATCTCTGCTGCCTTGTGCTGAGTCCCTGCTGCCGGCTTGATCGACCTGAGCCAGCCCACTGCGTGCTGGAGTAAGAGCTATTTACCTGATCTGCTGGGAACTCTTCCCTGACTAGTGATACTGTTGTTGAGCTCAGTAGTTTAGCGGAGATAAAGTGGATGTATCTACCAAGAGGTTAAGTAACTGGGCTGCACTGCTGGTGTCTTTTAAGCGGCTGTTTGCAGTCTTGCCTTTTGTTCCCTCGGGTGATCGCAGGAAGGTGTACCCTCCAACGTCTCTTTCATTCTTTCCAAGTGAAGTTTAAGGCTGGCTTTCACTTGAAGCTGTCATGTATTTAGGCCTGTGGTGGTGTTTTAGCATGTGTGTTTAGGCTAAGGTGGTGACTGAAGGGAGATAGATACAGGAGGTTGTATGTGAAGGGATGGTGTTGGAAGAGTTAGGTAAGTGCTGAACTACTGAGCCTGAAATCCATATCTTACTGCATATAGAGGAAAACTGGAAAGCAAGGGAAGGGGAACAGTGTTGGAGAAACACTGTTTTAAGAGCGTGCACTAAAAAGGAGAGAGAGATAAGCGGATGGGTACCACACAAAGTGTTTAGAAATCTGCGTGTAAAATTCTAAGATCTGGTCTGTTTCTGTATAAAATCCAAAGGAAAGTATTTTGAGTTTATGCAGTGTACTCACTGTTCTTGAGGAGAGTACATAGTTGCATTTAAACTATTGTTATTTCTGAGCGAGGCGGTAGCTGTAAATCAATATTGGTGCATGTCCTCGATGAGTAGGATCAATTTATATTTTATAAAGGCGAAAGCTAAAATTACGAACAAAGGAGCACAACAGCCTAAAATATCACCGAGGTAACTAGTAGGAGATAAATGTGGCTGTCCTGATGTCATTACTTTCCAAATGAATGAAATCCCTGTTCATAAGCCACGTTTGCATGTGTTCTGTTCTTAATTTCCAGCAAATGTATTTGTCCTGAGGGTAAGAATTTTCTTCTTTGGTCCTAAAGAGAAGTAAAATATAGATGGCAAACTTAAGATAGGAAGGCTGCCCTAGATAACGATGTACACCCCAAGGGGAAGCTGGCCAATTGAACAAGTAATTAGTATTCATATAATTGTAAAATGTGTGTAGGTTTTCTGTAATGTAAGCTCTCCTTTTTTTTTTTTTTTCCCCTTCTTTCTTTTCAGGACTTGATTTTTATGGATACATTAAACTGATAAACTTTGTTAGATTAAAGGTAAGCGTACCACATATTACTTCCATAATCTATGTCTGGAGAATGGGAAACCAAGATGCTGTGTTTTCAATTTGCCTTTTTTTTAAATAACTGTAGGAAATTTTGTGTTATATTTCTAGAAATAAGAAATCATGGGAATTAAAATAGCTTTTCATGGGTTTATTTAGATGTGAAGTTGTTTTCATTTTAAATACATTTAATTCATGGGAGTTCCTAGAAGAGGATGTTCAGAATTGTAAAAAGCCTATGCTATGTAGTATCATGGGGTTTTGTTAATTCATCTTGGCCTTTGACTTTGCTGTCTTGCTCCTGAAATGGATTCACTTCTTGATAACTTAAATTTCTCAGTCCTCACATGCATATTGGTGTAAAAGAATCTTTCTTGGGGATGTGAGCTGGCCGGACACCTAGTGCACTGTTAGTAAGGAAAACACCTGATCCCTCGGGTCACAGAACCCAAAATTAATCTCTGCTAAAATGATACCAGAATCAGGAAAGCTGATGGGAACCTACAGTTTTAAGTTAGGCCTGGGTATATTTTGTGTATACTGTGACTTAAAAGTATGTTCTTTGGTTTTGATTTAGATGTAATACTATCTTACATAATTAAGCCTTTTTTACTTAAGTCTTCAAATCTTAAATCCTCAAATAGTTATTTAAGGCATAACTAGCTATATGGAGTAAAAACGGAAATGGAAAAACTAAAGTCCTGAGTCTGACCTCTCCTTTCCTGACAAAGTATTAACTGGCTGGATACAAACAGGAGAGAATATAGCGTTTCCAAAACATGTCCCTACAGCTCTGTTCATGTAAAAATACTTGGCACAATTATATCTTGGTGTTATTGATAAGCCCTGTTGTAAGCTATGGGTCTGACACAGTCAAACACCTGAGTAAACTTGGTTCCCGATAGCAGTGTAATCCTACAAGTATCCTTCAACGTCTCTATCAAACTGCTGTGCTTTACTGCTTGTACTGAATTCCTTGATCCCGTAGCTTCTTGGGCTTTGGGACCCAGAGTAGCTCATAGGTGTAGTTTTATGCTGTTCTCTGGTCACCATGGTTGTAATGTCGGTGTGCTGAGGTGAGTACTTGTTGTCAGAGCCAGGATGGAAGCCAGAAATTCATTTCTTCACTGTTCTTGCAAGTCATGCTTTAACATAGTATCTTTCTCAGCTTTTGCTACAAAGCTCCTTTAATAATACCCTATTTATTTTAATGGGTGGAAAAACAGATGTTTGCCATATTTTCTTCAATGAAATTGAAGGGCTGATGTTTTCAAAGAAACTTAGCTTACGTGCTCTTCTCCTGTCTAGAAACCAACAGCAGCATATTTGAGTTCACTCAGCAGCCCACTGCCTTGGGAAGGAGAGGAATATTTGAAACCAGAGCTAGAAGATGATCTCCTGCTTCAGTTTGGTAAATAAATATGCTTCGGTATGAGTATACTACGTTGTGGCGTACATGTGGTATTGGTACGGTTCCTGTCATACAAAGCATCATCACTGTTATCCAGTTGACTTAGGTATATGAGAAAGTCCGTGTAATAGCTGAAGTCGTGACATTAAGTTGCGTTCTGAAATTTTTACCACACGATACACGTTGGTTTTTAATGGCTGAGATTTCCATAGTCCTGTTTTATTATCTGCATTCACTTATTGTAGATACGATGTTCATAGCGGAGATGCTGTATGTAGTAATTAAGCAGGTCAAGGAGGCACTCCATCCGAGCTTCACTGGAAGATTTATGAAGCTTTTAAAGCTTCTAAATGCGGGTATTTAAGATCGGATGCATTCATTCAAAAACGTATGCTGTAAGTAAGGAGCAAGTAATTTGCTTTGTTGAAAATGTCTTCATCTTTTATACAGGTTCCATTTTGGACCAACCCAGTGTAAGATACTCCAGGTGCATAGAAGAGTTCTGCTTCTTTAATGGTTCTAGCGATCAGTACAAGCAGCCTTAGTTTCTCTCTCATGACAGTTCATCAGATGGTCTTGAGAGAATTCAGTTTGACTTTTGAACTTATTTTTGCCGCCCACAATCCTCCTACTCTGTTCCTATTTTGCACTTGATTGTACATCTTTTTTTTACCTAAACCATAAAGTACTTAGGGCTTGTGGGTTTTTTCTTCTCCGTACAGTCTGGAATGCAGTTTTGCCCTTTTCTAAGTGAGCCTTGCTGCATGATAGCAGAGATCGTGCATGGTAGAGGACGTTGGTTGGTTACTTCAGGGATTTCATGTTTCACTGTATCAGCTCCTGCCTAATGTGTGCTCTGTGCCCAAGCTCTAGACTTCTGAGGTGCTGTTGCAGTTGCTGAAGGGTTATGGGGATGATCTGAACCTCTGAAATCTTATTTTTGGTATCTGCTTTGTTTTCGTCCCATGGGCCAAATAGTCAGTCTTCCATGATTAAAAGGAATAGATACATGTGCTTTTTAATGAAGTCTTTTGCCCAATAAGCTGGCAATAACTTCTTACTATATCCAAAAACACAGTAGCACCATTTTTTTATCCACTGGCATCTGTTGAAATCACCAGCTGAATTTAGCAAGAGGTGAATGGGGACCTAGTGCTGAATCTGAGTTTTGGTAGTTAGAAAGCGATGTTTTGTCTCGATTCATTCTGCTTATGCTCTTTTGAGTTGTGTGTGTTCATAAGCTTTATAAAAGCCCAAGGAATTGGTTTGAAAATTAAGAGCTACTGTCTAATTATTAAGAAATCTTCAATTTATATACTTTCTTACCTTTTACTATTACCATGGCCTTTTCAGCCTCAGAATAACATAACTGGAAAAATAGAGGATAGGACTGTAATTAACTTAATTACAGTTTAAACTTAATGTCTCTTCTATCAATAATGAAACACTGGTATTTAAAGAAGCCTGAGTTCTGGATTTATTTGCTTTGTTAGCTTAGAGCTTGCTTCTAGTCTACTTGCTTTTACTGAATAGTATGGTCTTCTGTGGTTAGTCCTGTCAAACTCAGTGATGCTTCTTGTAAAACACGCTACTTTTACAAATCATCCAAAGACAGAAATAGTAACACTGAAAGCATCATATGTTTATGAGCTGCTGTGAAACAACATGTGACTGATATGTGTTGGTCTTTTTTTTTTTCCTCCCCATTTCATCAGATATAGAAGATCTTTGTGAACCTGCAAGCGTTTTGCCTTCTAATGGTTTAAATGATACTATGGTGCTCCTTGAACAATTAAAACATGCAGAACACAGAGCAAGACTCGCAGAAGCAGCCTTGGCTAGAGCACAAGATGATCTTCAAAAAATGAAGTAAGTGTTTGAACTGAAGTTTTGTTTTCTATTTGATGTGTTTTAGATGAGATGTTCATTTTTAAAGACGAATAGAAATTCAAAGAAGTGGTAGAATGTAACTACAGAATAAAACTCATAACTTGTGTTGGGACTGTACGTTTAACTTTTATCTTGTAGGTGATTAGTAACTGTCTTGTAGATGATTAGTAAAAACTGCACAAAACCTGCACAAATTGAAAGAGCAAAGTGTGCTTAGGAAAGCTAAATAAGCATATGGCCCAGAAACATGTACTTTGTTTCAGACCACTCTCTGTTTTTCAGACACGTGTCTGTTAGTCCTTTAGATATGAATTTAAACATTGAAGATGTACACAATGGAGAAGAGGGAGGTATTGACAAATTAAATGTGGGACTCTCAACATTTTCAGAGATGGCTCCAAACAATGATTGTTAGTAGTAGAATCCAGTTAGAGTTTGGAGAAACCCTCAGTGAAATTAATAAACCAACTTTTCGGCTACTTTTATTTTCGGTCTCAGGTGTGGCTTCTGTTAGTAAGAATATTCAGTGCATTACAATCAGGAAATCCTCATAGCTGTACATGCTACTTCTTGATGATGCTCATGGATAAAATGGGAATATAAACTTCTTTTTGGGTCACATAGGATTAAATCCTGTACAAACGTGTTATTTCAAGATCACACTGGCCACTGAAGAACTGAAATTGTATTTAAGAGACTTGGAAAAATAATTCATGTTCTTTTGTAGAAAAGTAAAGTGGCAAAACCCTTGTTTTGTAAAATACATTCGAGGGTTCGGTGTATGTTTTGAGAGTGTGCACTTGATGTTATTAGTAACTAAGTATACCAAAATAAAATCACATATTCAAATCCTATCGGCTGTGCGCAATTACACATGTCAAAAATGAACGGTTTTGTCTTCAGCTGGGTTTAAGTTTTACAAATCAGAAATGTTTTTCCAAGTTTGCTAGACTGAGTAGACTTGTAGAATTATGAGAATTGAAAGGGGTGCAAAGCAAAGATGGGTAGCTGGAGGCCTCATGACCTTTTGTTTGCCCCCCACAAATGGTAACAGTTCTATAAATCAGGTCACCTCTAGCATTTGATGTAACTTAGGGATTTAAGAGCTTGGCTTGTATATCCTGAAATTTTTAATCTGTCCCCTGCTTAGAGATGATGACTTTTGTTTCTAGTTATCTTCTTTTTTTCTTGATTAAAAAGATGGGAGGGCAGCTCTGTCTCTAGAGTTGGGTACTTGTGTTGCATGCGTAGGCTGGAGGAAGTATTGGCTGCATCTGTTTTAAATAATTTTAAATTTAAAATTGGGTTTAAATCTTGTAAAATGCTAATTATACTTAATTATATGTCATAGAATCTATTTTCTGTAAGTTTTGACTTTATAATTTTGATATTTATCTAAAAGTAAGGAAAACACAAACTGCTACGGTAAAGACCAATATTAAAAATAAGATCCAGACCTTACCTCTGTGTCAGCAAGTATAGACAGTTTCTGATATTGCCAAGCCTCTAATATGAATTCCCTTACCACCTTCGCTTCCCCATTCAAACTAGTTAAGCAGAGAAGTATTTGATATGTCTGGACTGAAATAGTATTTTTGGCTTTGTTGTTCTATAAGGATGGTACTGGTAATGAGATTTTACCTACAGTTTCTATACATTAAGTTCCTATTTAAGAAAGTATGACTGCTGTTGAAGGTGAGCTTGGCTGCTTTGGAGTGGTCTAGGATGCAAGTTTCGTTGATGTTGGACTGTAGACCTTGGAGGAATATGTTTGCTTTTTCACTTCATTGTGTGTATAGTATGAGCTGTTTGCTTGTCAACTTTTAATTGTGTTTTCATGATAAAGCCCTTGATTTGTGTAGTTGGTCATCAAAACTGCTTTGAGAAATGGGAAGAGAACATGTGTATTAGGAATGCAAGGCCATGGAGGAGGAAAATTAAGTAGCAGCACGTAAATAAAAATGAAAATTAATTTTATTTAAATTAAATTATTAAATTAAATTATTTTAAATGAAAATTAATTTTAAGCTCGTACTTGTTTCCACCCAAGTGCTTCAGTTTTGAAGTACTCTCTTCAACCTTCCAGTAGTCATGCAGTGATGTATGATTTATAGTTCTTAAGTGTTGTTTGTTGTGTTGAGTCCGCATCTGTGTTACATGGCTTAAAATGCATGTTGTCCCCCGTAGACTTGGACCACCGTGGTACTAGCTTTTGTACCAGCAAGTGCAAAATAGGTAATTTCTCCTTAAAAATAGAAACGAAGCCCGAATGGTTCACTGCTGATATTTGCTGGTTGAAAGCAGAAAGTAGTCATTGCAGGAGGGTGACGGACGGAGAATGGTGGTGCAGCAGCCTGGAGGAGCCGGCAGAGGGAGGTTGTGCATGCTTAAAACCGGTTCTATTGTTGTAAAAGCCCTTGTGCAGTCTGGATTCCTCACCTCTTCCAAGCCCCTTCTCCCCCCCTACCCCCGCCTCCTTTTCATGGTCCCATAAACATGTCTCAAGGGTATATTTCAAATTGATTACAGACAATTTGCACAGGATTTTGTGATGAACGCAGATGTCAGGAGCAGCTCGTCATCCAGCGCCATTGCAGACCTTCAGGAGGATGAAGATGGTGTTTACTTCAGCTCCTATGGGCATTATGGGATACACGAAGAGATGCTAAAGGTTAGAAAGTCGTCTCAACTGCATCTTAGTAGGACTAAAGAGGAAAGATGGAATGAAGTGGGCTGTGTTCCCATAAATATACTGCAGAGCAGCTGCATTTTTAACCCTTTCTATACACGATAGATTTTTGCTAGGAGTTGGGTTGGGAGTTCTTTTTCCAGTTTTGTTTCCTTTGTATAAAATATGTACTCTATGGGAAGCATGAGGAACACAAAATCATTTCCTTTACAGATATGCTTGAAGATATACTATAACATCTGTACCACAACCTTACCTTGCCAAAAGCAGCTTTTTCCTGGGTGCTTAAAAGATAAAGAATAAAACATGGTAGTCAGTGAATATTTTTCTTTAGTTTATGTTTTCCTAGCAATTGAAATTTGTCAGGCAAAACCACTTCTCAAATATTGTGGTTTCCTATTGCATTAGGTAAACAGAAATTGTTGGTATTTGTGCACAGTTCAGTGTATTGATAACATGAAATTGAACAGCTGGAAAAATTGTATGCTCCATTTATATGATAAAGATAAAATAATTAAGGCTTAAAACTCTTCAAAGGCAAACCTGTGTATGCCCTTTTAACTTAAAAACAAACAACCAAACACAAAACCCAACAACTTAGAATTGACATGAAAAGCAAAACCTCTTAATGCTTCCTTTCAGAGAAGCTGTCATAGTTGTGAAAGTTATAAACAGTTTATCATTTTTAACATTTTAAGACAGAAATAAATAAAATTCCTGTCTAATGTAGAGATAGGATACGGAATTGTGAAGTGACTTCGTCCATACAGGTAGCATATAAAGTTTCCTGCTTTGTATATTGCTAAGTGGCCCCAATGTAGAAATCTGTGTTAGGAATAATAAAAGCATGAGGTTAGTTTTGGGGCATGGGGGGGATTTTACAGAAGCACAGAGATGTCTGCGGAGGTAGAAGAATGTTTTCTGAAATGTACGGTCTAGAGAAATATATTTAAAGTCTTGAAGATAAATAAAAATGATAGAAGTTTGGTATTGCAGTTGTATAAAGGTGTCATTTGAGATTTTATAGGCTATAGGATGAGGAAGCCTTTCTGTTTGCTAATAAAGTTTATAATTCTGCATCTCTGCACAAGGAGATTGGTACAAAATCGTATTTTATTGGTTTCAGGGAATGTTTTTCAGAATGCCTTTAAGAAGGCTTTTTGACTTTCCTAAACATAGGAAAGCAATTGATTTTTTTATTACATGCATCGAATTTTTTTCCTATATGCTAGCCATTCACTTTTTTTTTTATATCTACCTTATTTGTATAAATATAGTGGCTTGCTACATTGAAATTTTTAAGAAAGGAGTCTTGCTGTCTGAATTTTAAGTCTGTTTCTGATATTGTTCACTTTCAAAGCCTTTTTTTTTTTTATGCCTGGTAGTGGTAGGATGAAGTTTCAATTTGTTTTTTTGTTTGTTTGTTTGTTTTTTTCCTGCAAATACTTCAGAGATGGGGGAAGAGTGTTGTTACTTCACACTGGCCAAATGGCTAGTGTTTCCCTTGTTCTATTTTTTCCCTCGAATTTCTTGACTCGTTTTAATACATTTCCTTACCATTTTGTTTAAAAACAAAACAAAAAAAGGCATTGCATTGAAATGGCGAGTGAGAGAATGGAATTGATGAATAGAGAGACCTGAAGCGAATGCCTGTGGCTCACTCGAGCAGCAGTGCATATAGCAGAGGCAGCGGCGCGACCGGTATTGATTCAGCTGGGGCAGTGCTGAGGCAATGTGAGTGGGCAAGCTGTAAGGCTGAAAGCTTTCCAGCTGACGGCTTTCTCGATTGATGCTGAACCTTCCAATTTTTTTTTAAACTTTTTTAGTCGTTTCAGCAAATCCTGTTATATACTGCAATAGACGCAAAGTACTAAAAATAGTTTCTCTGAATATAACATTGTAGTAAATCGATACGGTTTTAAAGGATCCCATTTTTTTTTATTCATGTCAATTATGTATAATTTTAAAGTATGATTTTCTAAAATCATCCCTAACTGTTTCTGTGGGCTCTCTGTGTGTGTGATAATCCTCCTAAACTTAAAACTGGATTTTAGGATTTTCAAGCCTCAGAATAATTTGTTTTGTCTCCAGAATTTTTATGAACATATCCTTTGTTCTTAGTCTCTGTTTTTTGATCTTGTTTTTCTAATAAAATAGACTTTGTTCTTTCTCGCTAGAGAAAATTTCTTCAGTTTCTGTATTGTTTCTAGAAATTCTTACCTGCCATAGTAGAAAAATGTTAACTTATATATAAGCAGTTGGATTTTATACTTCCAATATTATTTGTAGACTTGTCTTTACTAGATAAAAATTGCTTAAAATTTTTCTTTTACTTTGCTCTAACACTTGAACTGCAACAGCAATTCCAAAACCTATACTTGGCTGTCAATTTGTGTACCTGCTGATGCATATTAAGAGAATCAATGTTTTAATAGATTACCTTGCTGGTAGATTGAGCTATACTGCTAGCTTTCGTACACTAAGATACTATAAGTGTTTAGTTATATGCTTGAAAACATTCTAGCTTCTCAGGTCATATTCTATTACACTTAAGTTTATTTGGCTTTCATAGAATGGGCTGTACAGCTTCAGTTACTAGCTTGTAAATTTGCAGTTTGTTTAAAAATAGAAAAGGTTAGTCTGATCCATAACTTTTTTTGGAAGGAATCTGTGTGTCACGGGAGTGTCAGAGAATAAAATGATTGAAACATTTTATGAGCTCGTGACTCAAATTTTTACCATTGTGTAGAAGGTTGTTATGTAAAGTTGGTGCAGTATTGCCATTCTATTACTGCTGTTCCTGGAAAGTGGTGAAGAGGTATTGAGAACTTTGAAACATCCAAAATCAAATGCATCAGGTTAGAAAAGTGTAAGCTAATTTCTTATTTTTCCTCCAGAGGCTCAGCTGGCTTCATTTGCAAAGACCATAAATTCTGAAAGAATATAGTATGGAAAGTGTTGTCATTGCAGAGCCATTATAAGTACAGTAGCCACAAAAAATCTTTAGGCCAAGTTAAAAAGCAAGTTTTTCAGCTTTTTTGAACAATAAGCTGCATCTAGGTAGTAAAAATGAACATTGTTTTTATTCTTTAAATCGTAGGATAAAGTGCGTACAGAAAGCTATCGTGACTTCATCTATCAAAACCCCCATATCTTCAAGGACAAGGTAGGTAAAACAGCTCAGAAAATACAATAATTTCTGTTCTTTATTTTTTCTCAAGTGGTAGAAATCCTTCAGGTTGGCTGCTTCGTAGCTTTGGGAGTGGAATATCACACTGACAAGATTTGATTTAATGTACTCTGGCTTTATTAGGTGGTGGAGTGCTATTCAGCTGCTGGAGGGTGCAAAGTGCTGATAACAGAAGTGCTGATCGCTATTGTCATTGTTCTGTGTGCCGTGGCGGGATGTTCATTAATTATGTTGGCGGGGTTAAGTTGAGCCTTTCTTGTCTAGTATATTAAGTGAAATCTATCGTAGAGGGCCTCTTTACCACAATTTAAGTAAATTTCAATCTGTGACTGATAGAGTAAAAATATTCTAGAAGCACTGTGTAATTAGAACTGGGGAAGAATTCATATGCAACTGATCTATTGAATTAGTGTTGTGTAGTCTCTCCGGACTAGGTTATTATTAAGGGACTTGGAACCAGGAACTAGTATTTCACTTGCAGTGAGGAGAGATGGCATTGACTTTTGTTTGTGATCTTACTGTGGTTATGACCCCTGCACAGTTATGATCCTCTTCTTGTCTTCTGTATTTGTGCTGGCTATTTCTAAGGAGTTTGTTGTGTTCCGAGTTAGGCTGTGCAGCCTTCTATTCTGGATTAGCTTTCCTCTGCTTAGTGTTTGCCATTCTGAAGCTGTGTATGGATATTTCTTACTGTGAAACCAGGATGTCTATGTTTATGGAAGGCAATCACTGTTGATTTTTTATTTTGGTTTTGATTGAGACTTTGTTAATAAGCGATAATACAAGGCTTCAGAATAGTTGTGGAAGTAATAAAAGTGCACACATCTGATAATTCCTCAGTTGGAGATTGTGCTAAATATGGTTTTGTCCTAGCTGGGAGGTATTTCAAGGTAGATAGTGCATACTCTTTGTATGTCTTATCTCAGTTTTCTTTTGGCAACTGCAGCAGAAAAATATTAGGAAAAGAGTTTTCCTTATTGCTTCAATCCATGTCACAAGCCTGTTTCCACTAAACATTTCGAAGCTCTTTAGTTACAATGACAAAACAAGCACCAGTGTTGTAGAAACATTGTGCTGCCAGCTACTTAAAAGATGCGGGTGACTGCATAGCTGGGCGGCTCATCTAACAAAGCAGAGAGATCAATAAAGGAAAGAAAACTTTCTTGGGAGAAATTTAGTTTCACAGATGCCCCTAAAATTGATAACTGCAGGTTTTCACGGTGTAAGACTGATCTTAAGTTACATGGAATATATGTCCTAGTGGAACAGGAATTTTTCAGGGTTGGTTGTATTTCTCCCCTGCTGTATGGACATACCAGTAACATTTGAAATAAAATGTGGGTGAACTGTTCCAGACAACGATGCTTCAGCCCCAGCTGTAGATGCACTGGGTCAGGAAACAGCTAGAAAACGTGTGCTTGCTTTGTGTGTTTACTTCGCGTGATAGCATTCAACTTCTAAAGAAAAGCTTGTCCGTTATCGCAACATCTACAAACTGGTTTCTGAACTCGATGTTTTTACAGCAGTTTTTTTGATCATGATTACCTCAAATTCATGTTGTATCCAAACCTGTCATAGTGCATTGAGATTGAATGGAACAAAAGATTCTTAATTGTTTTGAGTTCCCAACAGCTTCCATCCAGGTGACCAGTGCCCCACTTAACTTCTGCGTCTGACTAAACGTTGATGTGGCTTTCACTTGATATGCTGTTATGGAGAATATATGGGATTTTTTTCAGAGATCCGTTAAGATGTTTTGCTTCATTTACGTATCATATGATGCTCTCAGAACCGTATTAATGAGTAAAACTTCCAACTTGAGGAAATAAGCTGTTTTCCCTTAAAGTTTGATTACAATTTAAAAAAAAAAAAAAAGTGAGGAAATGTCTGATACCAGGTTTCCTAGAACTCCCATATGGTATTCCTACCTAGGAAGCACATAGCAATGCTTTTGTTGTTTCTGACAGGACACCTGTGAGGTGGGTTGGGAGGAGCTTGTTCATAGAGTTCAATTCATTGTACTGCCTTTTAATGCAGATCTGCAGTATCCCCAAGAGGTGTGATTGCACGGGAACAGGTGATAACAGAATATTTAGGGTTGTTTATTATGCATACTTTATTCAGAACCAGCCAATTTGTTTGTTCTCTCTCAGCTTTCAAAAGAAATTATTAAAACTTGAATGAGTCCTGCTTGCTGCCTTTATTTCCAACCTGTCAGATGTACTTGAGAAGAGAATAGGACAATTTAGATGACCTAGCAGGAATAGTTAAGGTGGCCTTACTCAGTAAAAGGAAATGTGATCCACTTTACAGCGAGAGTATTTTTGGGTGGAAAAATAATTGGTTAGAAAAGTAGTGTTGCCATGCTTAGTTTTTGTTGTAGAATAGAAGTCTGAGGCAGGCATCAATGCCATATTGAGGGGGAAAAAATGAGTTTTTAAACGTTGTTCCTACTAAAGGTCATTGATGGAATTAATTTAATTGGCCAAATTACCTGACCTCCTGTTTTTCTGAATTTGAAGTAATTTTTTTCTGTCACTAAAAGTAGAATATCAGTTTTGATTAGCAGAGAGGGGTGTGATGCTGCAGTAGATTATGGTATAGTCAAATCGCCAGTCCAGCTGCTCCAGATCTCTGGTGAGAGGCCATATGTGATCACCGCAAGAATGCGTTAGCTGTAGACCCTTGTCCTTAGGCTAATTGGTGATCATTCTGCTTGTCTTTCTGTTCCTCAGATGTGTTCCAGCTTGTGTATTTTCTCTCCTGTGCCTTTTTCTCCACCCTCATCCCCTGCCTAAGGCTAGATGAGTTCCATCTGGGTTTTTAAGTGACCAGGGCAGCTGTCCAAAGTGATGTCTGTTTTGATTTTTTTCCAATTTGTGGTGATTGCTCTCTTTCATGCAACTGTACATCAAGATCATTCTTTCACAGAGGTTTATTTTTGGCTCTGACTTCGAGCTTTCATGGCTCAGCAATTTTGTTAACTACCATGGGTGAAGCGTTAGAATAGATGGTGTTAGGGGGCGTGAGATTTCAGCAGCTGCCAGAACATTGATTATTACTTTCTATTCCTGTCTTCAGAAGACTTAACCTAGGGATTTCTGTAGCCATTACATACTCGTATGTAACTTGTGAATGAGTTGTAGAATTGACTCCTATTGGAAGGAACATAGCTGCAAAGAGTTGCAAGTGGAACAAGTAACTCTGTCCGCAACTTCCGTGGCCAGCCTCTACACAAGATGCTGTAAAAAAATTCATCACGCTAATGTTTTTTAGTTCCAGATTGTAAGTTGCTCTTTCAAGACAGGTGGCAGTCAACTCTTCAGTCATTGCTTCCCAGTAGAAGCTCACTTACACAGTGCTGCTAAGGGTAAATGGCTATTTTTATTCATGCTGGCTTCAGAATCATTGTTCTGTATCCATCATCAGAACGTATAGAATTGTATGCAAGGGAAGGCAAGCAGACCTAATGTGCCGAGCATTCAAATGTTTACTTTGATACTGTTTGTCTGGTGAAATTTAAAAGTGCACATGCAAGTTTTTGTTGTGCCAAAGCAAGAATGCTCAATAGCTCATAAGCTAGAAAGTTTGTCAGTAGGGTGCGTTATTGCCTTGAAATATTTTGTAAAATGGGGTTACAATTCTCAAGTGTGGGACTGATTTACTGAGTGATTCAATGCCTTCTTTTGAAAAAAATTTAATGTCATGAAAGCTGTGAGGACAGCTTTTACAAGACTGGATGCTGTGCTAAGGAGACAGTGAAATAAGTTAGTTTTTCTAATAAATAATTTTTATGACTAGTAATTCTAACTCAATGTTCTTGTTACCTTAGAAGTGTTTTAGTAAATTGTGCTTACTCTCTTGTTTAGATCTCTTGTATGGGAAAGGAGGTCTGTCTTTAAGGTTCTGATTCTGTTAATGCTTAAATGCTATGCATGATACGAGTGACTGTACATAGTGCTTAGAATTTTTTTAACACCATTAGTAAAGCTTAACTATAGTAAGTAGAGGTCTAACAATAAGACTGCTGGTGATCTGGCCAATGCAACAGAATGCACCCTCAGCAAATTTGCAGATGATGCAAAACTGGGAGGAGTGCTTGATACACCACACGGTTGTGCTGCCATTCAGAAGGACCTCCACAGGCTGGAGAAACAACGGGAGTCCTGCGCAAAGGGCTCGGGGCAATGCAAAATCCTGCAGCTGGGAGTGGAGGAATTAACCCCCTACACCAGTAGAGACTGGGGGCTGCTGGCTGGAAAGCAGCTTTGCAGGAAATAATGCGGGTGTCCTGGTCAACACCAAGTTGAGCATGAGCCAGCAGCACGCACCCTTGTGGCAAAGGCAGCCAGCCAGCCTCCTGAGCTGCATTGGGAAGAAGACTGTCAGCAGCACGTCAAGAGAGGTGAATCTTCTCTTGTACTCAGCCCCAGGGAGATGACCGCTGGCGTGCTGTGCCCAGGGCTGGGTTCCCCAGTGCAAGAGTGAGATGAGTGTCCTGGAGTGAGTCCAGTGGAGGACTGCAAAGGGGGTGAAGGGACTGGAGCATCTGTGATATAGGGAGAGGCTGAAGGGGCTGGGGTGGTTTTGTCTGGAGAAGAGAAGGCTTGGGGGAGACGTTCTGAGTGTGTATAAATGCCTGGTGGTGGTGGGGAGTAAAGGAGGTGGAGCCAGAGTCTTCTGAGTGGTGGTCGGGGCAGGACAAGAAGCAATGGGCACGGGTTGAACTGCAGACAGTTGCCTTTAAAGATCAGGAAACAGTTTTTTACTGTGAGGGCAATTGAACAGTGGGACAGGTTGCCCAGAGGCATTGTGGAGTCCCCATCCTTGGAGACACTCAGAAGCCATCTGAGCGTGGTCCTGAGCAACCTGCTATAGTTGACCCTGCTTTGTGGAGGGGGTTGGACCAAGTGTTCTCCAGAGGTCCCTTTCAACCTCAACAATTCTTGTTTCTGTGAAAACACCAGATGTGAATCTCGTAGCTTAAAAATCTACTGTAACACATTCAAGATTGAAAGTGTTAATTTTGAAGCTGTTGAGAAGTTTCCAGCAGTTAGAGGAAATACATTATTATGATATTGAGGCCTGAACAAGGCTACTTGGTAAAATCTCTGCTTTATGAAGTTCACCACTGCTGGCAGCTCAACTCTACTTATTAATGTATTTGGTACTATTTTCTTAGTTGCTTCATGTTTTTAAACTTTTCAGTATCTTCCTACAGTAGCTAATATGTGAGATGTCAAAACCAAGCGTTTGCATGAGTCTTGTTGCTATGTTGAATGTGCTTTTTTCAAGTGTAGTGAAGTTTATTTTTCTTTCATGAAAACTTAGTGATCCCATCTTCCTGGATTTTTTGGGGTTGTATTTTGCTTATAAATGGTGTTAGAAAATATTTCCAGGTGTTAAAACTGATTCACTGATTAAAATTGCTGAGGCTATGATTTCCTGTTTCTCCTGTAACTTTTCAGTTGTTGCCCAAATAATTGCTTGTGATTGTTTCCCATGTGACTGAGTTAATCTGCAGCTGGAGCTGGTCTGCTTCATTGTCTGTCTGTAAAAGGTAGTAGAGGGTGTGGAGTTAGAGCTGCAGTTTGACTTGGCTGTCTCCGAATGTAGTAGTAAGACTTGATGCTACCATTTAATCATAGAATCGTTAAGGTGGAAAAGACCCTTAAGATCATTGAGTCCAACCGTTAACCTATCACTGCCAAGTCCACCACTAAGCCATGTCCTCGAGCACCACATCTGTCCGTTCTTTAAATACCTCCAGGGATGGAGATTCAACCACTTCCTGGGCAGCCTGTGCCAGTGCCTGACCACCCTTTTGGTGAAGAAGTTTTTCCTAATATCCAACCTAAACTTCCCCTGGCGCAGCTTGAGGCCGTTTCCTCTTGTCCTATTGCTTGTTACTGGGGAGAAGAGAGCAACCCCCACCTCGTTACAACCTCCTTTCAGGCAGTTGTAGAGAGCAATAATTTGTTCCTTCTGTTAGAATATGGTATCTCACTGATGTAGAAAGACATGTAGAAAAATCATAGCAAGGGAAATCAGGTGTTTATTTTTACCTCCATTTATTCATTTCAGGTGGTTTTGGATGTTGGCTGTGGAACTGGAATACTCTCCATGTTTGCTGCCAAAGCAGGCGCGAAGAAAGTGATTGGAGTTGACCAATCTGAAATCGTCTATCAGGCCATGGACATCATTAGGTAGGAAATGTTCCAAGTATGGTAAATATTGATGTAAGAAGTTGTTGAAATGCCATTACAGAGTGATAGGTGATCATTAACCGGTATGTGTTTTATTGAAGTCCTTCTTTGTCCTAAGGATTAACACAGGTTTTGATGTGCAGTAAAGTTGTTTGCTCCTCTGGTAGGGATAATTAAAACAGAGCTGTATTTAAGGCAGGGTGTTTCCCAGACCTTCCTCCTAATGTTAGCATAGGGCCAGTGCTGTCTTGCTGCAGAGGCTCCAGCTGGCTGCTGCCAGTCCATTTTGCATTCTCACTCTTTAAATGTCACTACTGATAAAATTCTAAGTTTTTAGACAACCATGTTCCAAGAGGACATGAGAAACTTTTCCTGACTGCACTACTTGGAGTTAAGGAAACTGTTCTGATTTAGATAAACCCAGTAAAGGTTGTTCAAGAGTGTGTGTGTATATACAGTTTAATTTTCTATTTCTATATAGAAATTTTAAATAATGATATAATTTCTATAATTTAATTTTCTATTTTATAGAAGTATAGAAATTAGAACTATCGAAATATAGACATTTTGTTCTTATAGAAATTTTTTTCCATGTCGAAAATTAAACAACTTATACTAGATTCATCTAAATGCATATATATTTTAGATCATGTTGAAACTGATGATTTTAAACAAAAGCTTGTCATGCATTAGTTAATTTTTACCGATTTTAGTACATAAAAAGGAGACATAACGTAGCTTTCTTTGGGAAATAGATTTTATAATTATATGGTACTTTAGTGTTAACTTGTGGAAAACCTTTCTCTAGTAAGGTTCTCTGTACGTTGGTATATTTAAGGGACTCTCTGTGAGAATAGTAAATGTGTATTACCCTGTGTTTTGTTCCTTTAGAAACCTACTGACCTCTGGTTTTCATGCTAGTTGGAAAGTGATTACCATTGCACTGTAATATCTTTGGGGGGCGGGGGGGGAGGCAAACAAGCAAACAAAAAAACCTAAACCAAACCCATTTTAAGAGCACGCACACAGTCTGCAGAGTCACTGAGAAGAGTTATTTCCAGGAGAACTACAAAGATGTTGCATGCCATGTAAACTGTCATGAACAGTACCACTCCTGTCTGAACTTCTCTGGAAATTGTGTCTTGTTTGACTAGCCTCGCTCTTACTTTTGAAATACCAAATTGTAACTTCCATTGTTTCAGTTTGTGTCTGTTGCCTGTCATCCAGTTCCTGTGATACAAGAGAAGAGCTTGGCTCTGTCTTCTTGTCACCTTTCTGCTAGACAGAGGCAGACAGAAGCCCATCCCTTAACCATCTCTTCTTAAGGCTGAACAAACGCAGTTCTCTCAGTTTCTCCATGTATGTCATGTGCTCCAGCCCCTCATCATCTTGGTGGCCCCTTCCCTGGACTTGCTCTGGGAGGGGAAAGCCATACGAGGAGCAGCTGAAGTCACTTGTTCTGTTCAGCCTGGAGAAGAGGAGACTGAGGGGAGACCTCATCGCAGTCTACAGCTTCCTTACCAGGGAAGGAGGAGGGGCAGGTACTGATCTCTTCTCCCTGATGACCAATGATAGGACCAGAGGGAACGGCAGGAAGATATGCCAGAGGCGGTTTAGGTTGGACGTTAGGAAAAGGTTCTTCACCCAAAGGGTAGTGGAGAGCACGGGAAATCTCGCCTGGGAGGTGGTCACGGCGCCAAGCCTGACAACATTCAAGAAGCAATTGGACAGTGCCCTCAGACATATGGTATGATTTTTGGGGTTGTCCTATGCAGGGACAGGAGTTGGACTTGATGATCCTTGTGGGTCCCTTCCAACTCAGGACATTCTGTGATTCTGTGTCGCTGTCTTTCTTGTACCATGGAGCCCACAACTGGACGCTGCACTCCAGGTGCAGTTTTGCAAGTGTCAAATTGAGGGGAAAGGTCACTTTCCTTGACCTGCTTCTGCCCTCTTGCGTATATGACACAGTAGACAGTTGGCCACTTTTGCTACCAGGGCGCACTGCTGACTTGCATTCAACTTGTTCACCAGGCCCCTCATCGAGGCAGGGTGGGGAACAGCAAGCAGAGCTGATTTCTGACCAGCAGGAACCAATCTGTACTGTTCCATGGGGTTATTCCAGCTGAAGTGCAGGTCTTCACCTTTGCCTTTGCTGGATCTCTGAGGTTCCCATCAGCCCGTATCTACAGTCTGAGGTCCCTGTAAATAGCAACCTTGCCCTCTCGCATATCAACTGCTCCCCCCTAGTTCAGCATTATCCACAGACTTGCTGAGGGTGCATTCTGTCCCATTAGGTCACTAATAAAGGTGTTAATTAGTATCAGAACTAGCATTAAACCCTGAGGGACACCTCTGGTACCTGGCTACCAGTTAGACTTTGTACTCCTTCTCTCACCTCTTGAGCCTTGGGATCTAGACAGCTTTCCACCCATCTGATGGTTCATTTATCCACTCCATATTGCACTAATTAACCTATAGAGGATACTAAGGGAGACTGTGAGTATATGTAACAATGAGGCAATGGCATCTGAAGGCTTAAGAAGGATTTCCTAGCATGGGGTAGGAGAAATGTAGGTGTAAATGTGGACTGTTGATAGCTGAGGTGTGTAGGTTTTTTATTTTGATTGTTTTTGTAAGAGCGACTGTGGAAAAGAAAGTCCAGGTAGATATTGAGGAATTTGGGAGTGACAGGTTTTATGCAAGCTTAAGTTGTACAGAAGTAAGGTTGTCTAGGCAGAATTTTTAGGTTAGATGCCACTTCACACATTGTAGGTGCAACGCTGCGCGCTTGGATGCTGTAAAATTATTCTATTAAATAAGTGCCTGTTTAAGAAAAGTACCACGTTAACCATTAGGTGCAACTTTGACTAAAATGCCTTGATGGCACAAGAACTTTTTCTCTAAAGGCAACTTTTCCCAGGAGTCCTTGACACCTTCAGAATGGTTACAATTATGAAACAGTGTTTTATTTCTAATGTACTAGATGACAAATGTAGGGTTGTTGACATCTTTCAGCAAGCGCACAGAAAGTCCTTTATGTGTTATTCATACTCTGAGGAGGATAGGAGTATCGGCCAACACATTTTACCTTTGGTGGGGAGAAGGGCAGACCCTCAAGAAAAACAACAGATCAAAACTCTTAGAGGGATAAATTGCCCCTTGAAGTGCACAGTGAACTATCAGTACGGCTACACATTTATAGATACCTTCTGCTATAAAAGGTTCAATTCACATTCAAGTCTTCAGTTCACATCCAAACAATTTATATTTGTCACATTAAACCTACTTTTCCTAAAGAAATCAAGCTGACAAACTTGGAATGGGGTAACAAATATTTATTGGAATACTGAAATCTGTGTAGCTTAAAAGTGACTACTGCAGTGTGCCTCAAGTATGTGCTCAAGAGCTTTTGTCCCTCCCCGAATTCAGGTTCACTTCTAGCATGCTAATTGCTAGAAACAGTGCAACCCATGTGTGTAAGTACGCTGGAGTAAGTGCCCTGAGTGGCATGGTTCTTTCCCAAGGTTACATAGTAAACTTATTTTTAACTAAATGCTTGCCTTCTCTTTTTCTTACTGTGAGTAGCTGCCCGTAAAATTTCTAGTGCAGCGAATGACTTGATTTTTGTCGTTCGTCACCGTTATGCTAGAATAGAAAGTTGAAGTATACTTCCAAAGTGGCATCTCGGCAGTTTTTCCTGCAATGTGTAAACTACATCAGTTTGTTTGGCTTTTTTATACCTTACAATTGAAAACAAGCATGTAATGAATTAGCCGTTTTCCTCTCTTTTGTTTTAAATCATGTTCTTGTATATGGTCATTTAGGAAGTTATCCTTAGATCTCTTTTTGTCCTTCTTAAAATATTGTTGTGGGTGTTAGCTCTTTAGTGTTCTATTTCTCACTTTGGATTTCTGGTTTTACTTCTGTTTACAGCATTAAGTATGACGTTAGTGATGAACTGCTACTCTTCTACCAGAAGACTGTTGTGTGTAGAGTATTTAATTGATCTTTCCAAGGGCCCACATGTTCACGTAGCCCTTTGACCCTTTCTTTTTCCCTCCCTTCATTCTGATCGTTCTCCCATTGTCTTTTAGATTGAATTTTTAATGTGATTACTAGTCTGCATTGAAAGCCAGACAGAATGTAAGAGTAAGATATCAGGACAGGGAAGGAAGGGGCAGAGATAAAAACTGCAGTGGAAAGATAAATTTCTTTGGTGGGAATAGTTTTCTGCCCTCTATAACAATAGCTATCTTAATAATGACGTGTACAAGAAAAATAGTACATTTCAAGTGTTCATGTGTTTAGTATTTTCACTGTCATGCAGTTTGTTTCAAAAACTGTAGTCACATCACAGTGCCTTCCTCCTTATGCAGGGTGGTTGTACCTTGCGTATGAGGTAATACCCGATTCCTGCAGTTACTAAACATTGCAGATGATCTTGGCCAAAATCGCAGTGAGGAGGATGCCTTTATTGTGGAATAACTGTAATACTGATCTAGACGGAATGTTTGTTCTCAGTGACTTTGCAGCTAGTTTTGTTAAATAAAAAACCAAGTCGTGCAAAACAGCTTTGTGAGGAAGTTAATTTCCATTGCTATCCTAGTGTGATGAGTAGGCTCTAATCACTATGGGCTCATGCTGTAGGGGTCAAAGAAGGAGAACTGGGAACAAGCAACTCTAAGTGAAGAGGAGCATCATTTTAAATTGTCCTTTTTTTATTTTTTCCTCGTTTCTGAAGCTTACACATTTGCATGCTCAGCACATTGGAGGTGTGTGGATCTACTGTCTGCCATCTTTGCCTGGCACTTAATCTGCTGCAGGTTTTGAATACTCGGAAACATTCCCTTTGAAATATAACTGAGAAGAGGAATATTACATTTTAGTGCTTTCTTGATTAGTTAACCCCCCCCCCCCTTTTTTTTTGGGGGGGGGGGGGATGGGGGGGGGGAAATGAAAAATATAGATGTCACTATCTCTCTCTTGACAGCATAAATTGGAAATATAACCTAATTTGTTTATGTTGTGACTTGCAGATTAAATAAACTTGAAAATATCATTACATTAGTCAAAGGAAGAATTGAAGAAGTAGATCTGCCTTTGGAAAAAGTGGATGTAATTATATCTGAATGGATGGTAAGGTGCATGAATATCCTTTTCAAGACATAGTTATTTTCAGGAAAAAATGTGTTGTTATATTTATTTGAAAAATTATTCTTTAAGTAATGCTGTTTTTTTAATCAAAAATTTATCATGCTTGCAACAGTGTCTTTGACAATGTGAGAGATGGGATGATGTTTCTGATTATGTGGTAGTCGGATGCAGTTCCCGATCCCTCTTGTTCACGCTCTTTCAAGTCAAGGTTCTCTAAGTACAGTTGAGTTGTTTTGGGTACAGTAGTAAGTTTCTGTTACGTAGTTAGTGTGCAAAGCTACAGAAGTACTCCGTATTCCTTAATAATACTATTGTAGCTGCTCAGGTGAAAGTAATGAAGAAATATTATATTAGTCGTCTAGCTAGATCATTCTGATGAGTAAAATAACTTTAGTCCGCAAAGACAGCTAAAGACGGTGCTGACTGTGTGGGAAAGGTGATAAGGAGGTGAGGAGCACACGCACTGGGAAATCGGCAAATATGTCATAGAATCATGGAATGGTTTGGGTTGGAAGGGACCTTAAAGATCATCTTAGTTCCAGCCCCCTCCCATGAGCAGGGACACCTTCCACTAGCCCAGGTTGCTCAAAGCCCCATCCAACCTGGCCTTGAACGCTTCCAGGGACAGAAAGCTTGAAAACAGCGTTACTATTCATTGCAGTTTTTTAGTATAAGAATAAAATAACGGATTTTAAAAGTGTGTAATAATGATGGTGGCCAACAGGAAATGCAGTATGCAGTGTGTAAATGAGCCGTTTCGTGGAATCCATTGGATTTCGGCTGTTGGCCTGTTACCTTTCTTTCATGTGCTGGCTGATGACTGTTACACAGTTGTGCTTGCTACCTGCCGTTGATCCTAATAAAGAAATCTGTGTGACAAGACCCAGTGCCAGGCTGAACTTCATAGCAACTGAATAAGTCTGTTGCATATCAAGAACGTGGTAGTAAACACCCTTTGTGACTCTTTTTGTGGACTTCTGTTATTCGGTCTCCTCATATCACAGACCTTCAAAAAGCACTTCAAAATACAGGTTTTTTTCCATGCTCATTCCCACTGTCTGGACTTAAAAGTTCTTTTGTCCTTCAGATTTAAGATCAATAATGAAAACTTATTATTCCAAGTTGGTTGGTTGGTTTACAAACTGTGGCTGTTCTACTGTATGCAAGGGCCTTTGGGAGAGAGGTCACATGATCAGTATGGATCCATGTCTATCTAACTAGTTTCCAGGTAAAGGTGGAAATAAATCGTTTGTCTTGGTTTTTCCGTGGGCTTTATTTTATATTACGAATTTCAGTGAGCTGGAAATCTGCAAAAGTTTTTCTTCCACAGCTGTAATGAACGTTATTTGAAGCATGGGCTTAATTTAATGTTGAGGTCACTAGTTTCAAGGAAGGTTTAAGCCATTGGCTTAAACTAGTGATTTAAAAATAGTGTGTTATGGTTGGTGATTTCCGAGAGTAGAGTGACTTCACTAGAAATGCAATTATAGTTCGTTCTTTCAGGGAAACTTCTGATCAGTTGCCTAATATGTGCACCAAGAATAATGTTCCCAAAATCACATTTCTCATTTTGGAGCCCAAGATTTGGTTTTAAAAGCAACTTGGGCGCTTAAGAGCTTAAGTCATGTTGTAAATCAGTGCCTCTAAGGTGAAGTAAGGGATTTCGAAAAGCAGCTCCTGTAAGAAATGAAGTATTGAATGTTCCATGTTTCCCATTTGTGTGCTAATTTACCTTTTAATGTCATAATTATATAGCCATGTGCATTTCACTTAATTAGGTATTCTAAATGTTTGGGAATGTTAGCATTTTTATAGGTTGCTGCAATACAGAGATAAAGAGGACAATGCCACGGAAGTAAGATTGATAGCTGGACAGTGTGTGCACTGTTCCAACACGGTCCAGAAAGGAACATTAGATTGCTTAGATGCAAATGAAGATTCCTCTTTGTCTGGCTTTCTTGTGTGAATTTGCTTTTTCTTTTCCTTCCCTACATGATACTGACCAGTGTGAACTCTTTTATTAATATGTGAATGTCAGTGCTTGAAAATGCTGCAAAAGTGAAGTGTGACAGGAAAAAGGAAGTCAGCATATGTCAGTTTTCAGGTCTTTATTTACAGAATCTGTATGGGCTAGCAGGAAAATTCCAATGGGAACAGTGTTTTTCCTTTGTAACAAAAATATCAATAGTTGCTGTTCTGTTTAGAAAACAAACTGCTTTTAGACTAGTAAACATTAAATCCTTTGGTGGAGCCATACCTTTGTTTTGCTTGGTACAGAACAGTACTTAAGACCAGTACATTATAAGCTTTTTTTAGAGCTATGCATGGAGCATCAGGAAATTTAAAACAAGTGTGAAGCAACGGAATGGAGGCTGGAGAGAGGAAAAATACTGCATCCGTCAGGAATGTTTCTAGAACAGGCTTTCTGAGAAAGATGGCACATAGTATATTGTAAAAGGTATAGTGTTACATTATGAGCATCTCCAACGTAATGGATTCTGATGATCATGCTCTTAATTGTACAAGTGGCCTATGACTTCCACAAACTGCTTGCTATTCCTACTTCTCTTTCGTTTTTAAATTTGTTCCCTTAAAATACACAAAAATGGGAGAAGCAGCTTAAATATTACACAGTGGGTAGGGGTGTGTGACTCTGTGTGTGAGTGTATATAGCCAAATTATATTTAAAATGTATATTTGCTATCTTCCAAAATAATATTTTTCAGTTTTAAATTGATCTGGATACGATTTTGTCATGTTCCAGGTTTAGAGGCTGAATGATGGGCAACTCTCTCTCCAGTGGCTTTATTTAAGCCTGTGAAAGAAACTAGCAGTGATCTTGCTTTTAATGTAAAGACTAAATGCATTGTTTGTACCATCTGAAGTATGCGTGTTTGACATCGTCAAAATCAGACCGTAAGCAGGACATCTATGTGATTGCGTTCCACTAAAACCAGTATGCAAACTATTGAGAAAGACAGCGGAAGGTGCGATGAGCTGTTCTGTTGGTGTCCAAAAGGCAGATTGAGGGCCTGTTGGACTATGGAATACCCAGATAAAGCCATCTGTTTAGATTTTATCACTCTGAAGGCAAGTATGGATTCCTTTTAGCAAAACATTGGTGAAGTATGCAGCCTGACCGACACAAGGGCTACTTGTGTGCTGTGGGTCAGGAGCACAAGGCAGAGCAGACGGACCGAAGAGCAGCTTCACCCAATAAACCACGTTACCTTAAGAAAGACCTCAAGAATGGCCAAGTAATAGCCTGTTCTGCTAACCAAACTGATTCTATAAGAAGGAAGTCTTCCAGTTCTTGGAGAAGGGTTATTTGAATGTAAGAATGGGTGAATTTTATATAAGATCTCACCGCTGGCCTTGTTTTTAGAGAGGTTTCCCTGTCCAGGATCTTTTGATGTTCTGTAGCAGGGCTGTAAGCTTCTGATGCACCATCCTGCTTGGTTGCCTGGAGCTCTGAGGTGTGAAACTTCTGAAAGCCCTAAGTTTGTGAAATTACGAATTATTGTTAGTGGTTACAGGTACCAGTCTCTAACATGTTTTTACTTGTCTGCTTGTACCATAGGACCACGTACAAGCAAGTCTCTTATCTTCTTATTCAAACTCTAGACTTACACGGATTAGGTTTCTAAGCAAAGGTGCCAATAGTGGAGTATTTGCATAGACTGCCTAGTGGCAATCTGGTGGAAATGCATTTCTGAACACACATCAGTGATTTGTTTGCACCTTGGTGTAATGAATGAAAACCCTTGTCAGTTAGTGACTTGACCTGGAAATGGTTTGCAAATGCTCAAATTTCATCCGAAGTTTAGAATTTTGACTTGAATGTGGTGCCATTGGTACAGGTGGTGGGAAAGTACTTACGAGTTGTATATATCATAGATTTGCTCTCAGTCAGGATCACATTTATGTCCTCTCCCCAGAGATATTGAATTTTTAAGAAACAATGATATTTTACTGTAATTAGAGTAATTTTCCATACAGTATATGAGTTTGAAATGCGAGCTGCTGTGCAAAGTGGTGAAGCTAGTTTTTGGTTAAATTGAATGCTGGGCAGGAAAAGATTTGCTGTAAACATATGAAAATGGCTGTGTTATTGCACAGGAATTTTGGTAGTGTAATTGTAAACTTCAGAGGCTGCTTATTGAAAGGATGAGTGCAGAAAGAAACAAAATGTATGTAATGTTTTTCTGGAATGTTCTTACCCAGCTGCATCTGTGTGCAGATTTTTCCTCTTGATATGCTTTCACTTGCTTTCTCTGGCTACGAATATAAAGCTGGAGGTTAAGAGTTTTATTCATTTGAAAAATATCTGCATTTTTGCTGTAAGGGGTTTTACTATGAGAGACAATTGTCTGAGATGGTTGTCTCAAATACAGTGTTAGAGTACAGTGCGTTCTCATAAATTGCTGTTCTATGCAGTGCTTTATGATACTGAATGTGCAGTAGAGTTTTTACACAAGGAAAAACTGGGAAAGAGGTGGACTCTCAAATTAAAATAAACCAAGGATAGAATCCAGCACTCTTGTCTCTTAATTATATCATTGCTCAGGTAGCTAATATCTTCTTTTTTTTTTTTTTTGTGTTAGATAATTTTGAAGTGATTGCAGGATGGGCTGTGAATGGGAGGTATTCAGGAACTAGGGAGGAGGACTAGGAAGCGAGCGTGTCTGAAACACTGGAAGCCATCTTTACTCTTCTTCCTCCTTTGCCCTCTTTCTGTGATGGACATACAGTGATGGTGCTTTGTAAACACTTACTAGTCTTTCTGTAGTTTTAATAGTCTCTAGTGCCCTGCATTCAGCACTGGTGAGACCACACCTCGAGTACTGCGTTCAGTTTTGGGCCCCTCACTACAAGAAGGACATGGAGGTGCTGGAGCGTGTCCAAAGAAGGGCAACGAAGCTGGTGAAGGGCCTGGAGCACAAGTCTTAGGAGGAGCGGCTGAGGGAGCTGGGGTTGTTTTAGTTTGAAGAGGAGGAGGCTGAGGGGAGACCTTATTGCTCTCTACAACTACCTGAAAGGAGGCTGTAGTGAGGTGGGGGTCGGTCTCTTCTCCCAAGTAACAAGCGATAGGACGAGAGGAAACGGCCTCAAGTTGCACCAGGGGAGGTTTAGGTTGGATATTAGGGAAAATTTCTTCCCGGAGAGAGTGTTGAGGCATTGGAACAGGCTGCCCAGGGAAGTGGTGCAATCACAGTCCCTGGAAGTGTTCAAAAAGCGTGTGGATGTGGTGCTTAGGGACATGGTTTAGAGGTGGACCAGACAGTTAGGCTAACAGGCTGGACTCAATCTCAGAGGTCCTTTCCAACCTTAACAATTCTATGATTCTATGATTGTATGTTAGTATTTGGAGATGCATTAATACAAGTGTTCTATTTCTATAACAGAGTAATAATTTATAATTTTACATAAGAATTGAGCTTTTCTTTTTTGTGTTTTTAATAATGCTGTGTAAAGAGCATACTCCTTAGAGCAAAATGTTTTTTTATAAAGGGATTGTATTTCCTTGCATGATTTTTTTTTTTTTTTTTTTCTTGCCAACACCAGTAATGGGTATCACTTTTCTGCTCTTCAGATCTTCCCATTTGGTGTTCTCACTCATATTTGTTTAAGGACACAACAGGGTGTGCGTAATAACAAAACAAAGTCAAGCTGTGGTTTTGAAATGTGTGGGCTTGCTCCGTCAGTGATGAATTATTTCCTTTTTTCCTAAATTAAATCATACATGAGAGATCAGCACGAAGGCTGACTTAGCGTGGGGGAAATAGTGCTGCAGCAGAGCATGCAGAAGAGTTTACATGTAGCTGTTGCTTCTCATTTAAATGCACCACAGGTTTGAGGGGGGGGGTGTTTGTCAAGTAAAAAGTAATTTTTCACAAAATTGAGTGGGCCACATCAGTTTTCTGCATCTGTTAATGCAAGATTACGTTTTATGTTTTAAATCGGAATCCGTTGTCGAATCTGTTATATACCCTCTGTAACTTGTTTTACTTTATAGTCCAATGGAAACCTTGTAGTTAGAAACTTTAGTTTAAGAAAATAATGCACTTTTTTATACTGATAGGGATTAAAAAAAGAGAGTCCACTCTCTGGGCCAGCGATTTGATAGCTGCCTTCCATCTCATTAAATATTCGGTGTTGGGCCTTACTGAATCTGGAGTACCAGACCAGGTTCAGTTATGTTACAGAAAATAATAAAACGGATCTTTGATTTCTATCCTTACCTGTTTTTTCTGCTGTACTAAAAATTCTGCTAATTCTTGCTATTGTAAACATGCCAGTACCACTTTTTGAAATATACATGGCTTTTACCAATAAGTAGAAAATAAGTGAAGGCAAGGCCAAATTCCACTAAGGTATTTGTTAGGAACGGCTAAGGGAAATGTACATGAAGAGGCATTTTTAATCTGAAGCAATTTGTGTTTTAAACAAAGCATTTTTCTTTAGTATTCTCCACACAATGAGGTATGCTTTAGAATGCAGCGTTGTTCTTGTGTCTTGATGCTTTTAAAGAGCTTAATCTCTTTTCCTTCATGAAGAATATAAAGATGAATACTGAAGCACTAATGTTAAAAGAATTTCCTGTGCTCTACATTTTGATCAATTGGTAAAATATTTTGATGTAGCTTTGAATTAAAGTAAGTATTAAGAGTTCTGTAGTGTATTTGAGTAATAGAGGAAAATTTAGCCATGCGGGATATTAAGACATCAAAGTTTTGTGAGCCTTTTATAACTGTTATACATCCTTTATATCTGTATTTTGTTTGTGTAAGAACTGTAGCGATACTCACAGTCCCCTGGATTCAAATTTGTCAGTGGGCTCATGCATTTTTGATAGCTGACTTCTTGGACAGACATGATGTAAGACATGGTCAGACATGATGTAGGACAGATGTATACTTGAACGGAGTTAACTCCATAGTGCTGCGTATTTCTGTTCCTGTCCAGATCTGCTCATATGTGGTTTTGTTGTTAGCTGGAGAGCAACTATTTTGTTTCAGCTTTGAAAATATAAAAATAAGGAACTTCATTTTGAGAAAGAAATGGCCAGCTTTTTAGTAGAAAACACCTAATATGACATCATAACATTTAAGATGTGCTGTGTATTTAGTTGTCTTTAACAGAGAACCTGTCACCTTTCATGTGTCTTAGTTTAGCCACTAGCAAGACAGAATTATTAATATTCGGCTCACAGATTTGTATCCTAGAGATCTCTTCACAGTAATTAATTTTGAGGATGCTAATACACGCTTAAGGAAAAACAAAACCCTGAACATGATTGGGGTGGAAGCAAGAGTGCCCCACAGCATCACGGGGAAAAGATGTCAGGTATAATTCTCTTTCCAGATGGCACCCCTACAGGTGAGGCAGCAGCCTGTGAAATTACATTCTAAATTACACTACAGATGAGCACAGCACAGTGAGCAAAACGCTTTGGTATAAGTAATAAATGACTTGATTCAGTACCATTGACAGTTTATGTAACTTACAGGAATGCTATAATGAATTGGGGGGGAGGATAGAACTGGGAGTGGGGGGAGAACCAACGGTGCCAGAGTGGAAAGGTCAGGGAAAGGACGGGGAGAATTTCACTGTATTTCTCATGAGAAGGTGTGTCTTCCAGCTCTGCTTCTTGCACTTGTTAGGCAGACATTGTAGGCGTTGGGCATTTTAGGCAGGAAGAAATAAGTGAAGAGCTGATCTCTAAAAATGTCACTTTGTAGCTTACTGACTCTTGCTGGTAACTAGTCTTAAGATATGTCCTAGAGGTCACATTTAAAATACTGTGAAAACAACTCCTTTTCAGTTAAAAGCATCTGAAAAGAATTTTTATGAACTAAACATACTCTGTTTTTAAAACTGCAAGAGTAAGGATGAAAAAAAGAAAAGTCGGGTTCTATTCTGTGCTTTTGGCTTGCTGTAGGCACAAAATCATCTCTGCCTGATGCAGTTGGAGCTCCTGGCCTTTTCAACCATTTTGCAAAGCTTACTAAAAATCATATTGCTCACAAAGCAGTAGTCTTCATTCTGGGACTTATTCTAAGGCCTTCATAAAAGCTAGGCAGTAAAGTGGAAGAAGAGGCAACATTTGGAAGAAAAGTGTCCAGTAGAGCGCTGTGCTGTTACCAGAAGAAACCGGTTGAGAAAAGGGCATTTCCACTGTTTTCAAGCTATGCTTTTGTTGAATACAAATACGTCATGCTTCAACTTTCTGGTTTTCTAGTTTAGTTTTTAGTTCTGAAGGCTGCAGTATAGATGGTGACATTTATAAGCAATTCTGAACTTGCAGTGTTTTTTGTTCTAAGAGCTGTAGGCAAAATAAACAGCCAAGATGGCATAAACATGAAATAAACTTGGTATCTTAGCAGTGCAGTTCCCATGCAATGCTGTCTGTCTTCGGTTGTGTGGACGGATGACTTCAAAAAATAAAATAAAGTCTATGATTGTAGAAATATGGAAGTGTAGGAAAGATGAAGAAAAAAAAAATCAAAATGAGAATTAGGATGCATCCAAAATGTATGCCGGTATGATTTGTCTGAACTGATTTGATGTCATAAGAATGTGTATGTGGATGAAATTGTGTTATAGTATTCAGCAGTAAGAATAAGGGTGATACTCAAACTTGGAAGATAGGCAGGGTGTAAAATCAGTAAATCATTTGGAAAACAAAGGGCTATATATCTCTTGGAAATTGGCATTTTACTTAACATCTCAGGTTTCTCAACTACTTTTATGTATAAAATGCTAATTGTATGAAATACTGCTATGACTTATATTTCAGAAATATTTAATTAAAGAAGTGGGTTTTTTCTGTTTCAAAAAAAGTCTGACTCGATTAAGTTTACAATAAGTTATTCTAAACAACTATAGTGGTATGATTAACCTGCTATAAAATTAATCCCAACGCCAAAAAAACTACTCAAATTTAGTTGTAGCCATTTTTATCCTGAGAATGTTTTAAGTTCAGGTGCTGCTAACTGGTGTAGAACATCCAGAGAACCCATCTCTTTGGTATATGACTTATTTCCACCTGTCTTTGTAAGCATTGCCCAAGTTGGTACAGGGCACCACGAAGTTGCCAATGGGAAGTAGCAAAAATGCATTCTACTTGCAGTTCTACTTGGGAAGGTATTTTCTTGGTGTTTTGTTGGTTTTGCTTTTTTTTTTTGTATGGCATGCCAGAGTTATTACTATAAAATCAATATATACAGCTTTTCACGGGTTTGAGTTGCATTTGATTTCTTTTGATGCTGTAGGACTCTATCAGGTAATTGTTTGTGTAGATTGGATATTTATTGCCTATAGTTTATTAATTTAGTAGGTGCTAGATATTTGCAGTCTGGGGAATGAAAGATGATGCTTTATGTAACTGAAGTTTTGAAGTTGCAATGCTATTGCTGAGAAATTTACTGGGTTCTGGCTCTTATTGAGGTGTATGGGTATATAAAGTTTTTAAACTGTGTTGTCTATCTGTAGATTGATTAAATATGCTCCATAAGAAGCATAATGATTTCTAAATTCTTTCCCTTTTCTATAAACAGGGTTACTTCCTTCTCTTTGAGTCAATGCTGGATTCGGTCATCTATGCAAAGGACAAGTACCTGGCAGAGGGAGGCTCAGGTTGGTATGCATAATGCTTTTAATAAATGTAGCTCTGGGGGGAAACTAAATGAACTCAGACTCGGAATAAGCTATGCATGGGTGAGAAAGTTGCCAGTGTAAATGAAGAATGTTTCCATTAGTATGAGCTTCAAGGCATTAATTTACTGTATGGGTAATAGAAGACATTAGATGGGGTATCAAGGTCTCAAATTAATGGTGTTTTTAAGAATAGAGGGGTTATTTATTCTTAAGTACAGTCTAAATTTTTCCTCCCTACTTTTTTCCCACACATGTGGGCATTTGTTTTCCCCTCTTGAAATCCCAGTTTCTGCATAACTATGAACAGAGGAAAACAAGTTTTATTCTGTAAGATGTGTTACTGTTTGAGTAAGCTACAATGAATTAGAGGAGAAGTCGATCGCGTATTTTCCTGGAGGAGGGAAGTTGCGTGGGGAGGACATGGTCTCAAACACGAGAAGCCACTTGAAATAACTAATGGATTTACATTGTTTCAGTTCAGCATATTCTATCCTGGTGGGAATATACCCTTTTTCTTCCTGGTTGGAGGGTAAGGAAGTGACAGAACAAAAAGGTTTTATTTTGAAATAGAGTTCTTTTATCCTTTTAAGTAGCTTAGTGTCATTTTAAGCAGTGTTTAAACGCCTGTAAATATTTATTCCTCATGTGATGCAGTTTTTTGCACAAGTTCTGCATATGCTTTATTCCTTGCGCTTAATTCCTTTGTCAGTATTGTATTTCGTATTGACCTTTTCAATCGTAGTCATCCGTCTGGGGTTTTTTTCCCCCTTTTGTGCTAACCATGCACATAGTTAGTTTCACTACACTGACTTAATGATTGGATTAATGACTATGTAACAGTGCTCGCTGCAGTGCTTCCCTGTGATTGCAGTGAGCTTTTGTATGCTAGAGTGCAGCAGAAAAAAGAGGGTTTATGCAGTTGTTCAACATTTGGTCACAAAGCTGAATATACAAGCAAGAGATTACTGTTCATGTGTTAAAACATTTAGAAGCCACTTGAACAACGTGACAGAATAAAAGCTTTTTTGTTTTCAGTAATGTAGAATAGTCCAGCCAGATCTGGAACACAGTTGTGGTGTGCTCTGTATCGATATATGCTGATAACTTTACATTGCAATATAGTTAAATTTGAGGACATCCCATAAAATTGTAAGGAATCATTTTATGTTTAGCTACTACTTCCAAAGCCTTCTGAAAAGGGCCGGGAATTTTTGACCTCTATTGAAACTGCGGTAGCATCTTGTTCTCTATTTGTATTGTTGGTAAGTTTGCTAGTGGCTTGCGCCTCCCAGAATTTCCTTTGAGAGACAGGCTATGCTGGCTCTTCAGTACACTTATCCATTGTGGTCTGAGAATGATCTTGGGCCCTTATTTGACTCTTCACAAAGCATACAGTATTGTATGGTCGCCAGTTGGTATGGCGAGACTTTAAATGGAACGACGTTTCCTTAAGATACTTAAAATTACTGCTCTTCTGCCAGCTGGTATAGCAGGTAAATGGCTGTGCCTGAGATTGCTGAGCAACTTTCTCACGAATCAGCTTAGCAAGACAGGCTCTTCTGCAGCGTAGATGAATAGCAGCAGAACTGCGGGCACATCCAAATTCAGATGAGCCAAATCTAAGAGCTCATTTTGAGGTGAAGTCTTACCAGGGAAACTCCTGAATCTGCCATAAAGCTTAATTTTGTCTCAAGCCGCTTTGTACTATTGAGCCCAAGATCATTATTACAGGGACTGTTTGAAAGCTGAAAAAAGCAATAGAAGCAGCTGCGATTTGGCCAAACCTTTCCGTGATTGAGCCGGGAATAGAATCCAAATTTCTAGACTTGTGTTCAGTCAGTCATATCGTCGTTACTTCAATTTAGCCTATTGGCATGCTGAAGTGGATTATGCCAAACTCTCTAGGGTAATGGGTACAGTATATAATAGCTTTATTTGGGAACATAAAATTCTTGCTGCCTAGGACCCATCTGTTTGCTCTTTAGAGCTGTTACTTGCCTGAGTGTAGATTTTTGCATCCACTTGAGTGCAGTGCATGTTGGTGAGGGGTGTAAGGCAGGCAGCATTCAAATTGTAACACTGTTTGCTTGTTCACATCAAAATCATGATGGTATTCCCTTGGAATTATTTCCGTATATCTGGAGGGTTGCTGCCTTACCCTTCAGCGTCCTGAAGTTTGTGAGGCATTGCTAAGGGATAAAGGATTTCCCATCATATTCGGTTCATCACGTGAGCTGTTCCTAGTGACAGATGACTTCTGGGCACTGAGCCGAGAAGGACACAGATGGTCAAAATGATGAATCTGTGAGAGCACTGAGGAGTATGTGCTCTTGTCCAATCAGCATTTTGTTCATTTCACCTGTGAGAAGGAATAATTATTAAATTATGGCGTTAATCAGAAAAAAATGACAAGTCTGTCAGGATTGCACAGGGAAGTGTTACAGGGTTGCAGAAAGAGCAGAGGATTTCCAGGGGGATTGAGGATAATGGGTGAAATGGCAAATGCAATTTTAAGCAGATGCTTTTAAACATTTACAAAACTCGCCAGTGTTGAGATGCTTTAGGCTGATATTTAGATAACATGCTTAGATTTCCAGTCAAACTTCAGTATAGCATATGCTTCTGGACATGGGTGGGTTTGTAAATTTGGAAGTTATGTATCACTGTAGTCTTTTGCCTGTGGAACCACAGGTTTCTTCGTGAAGTCTGAACAGGTGTTGTCTACTTTTTTGTTGCTATTGATAGGCTAAACTAAAAATGCAGACTGGATTAGAACATTAGTGTTTGCATTTTCGCTTGTTCTTAAGCACTTTGTATAATCGATCATGAGTTCCACTGCTGATTTAAGGATCTGCTGCGTGGATGAAGAGATTTAATAAAAACTGGTTATGGTCCCACTGAAATATTTCACGCTTGATAGATGTGGTAAACTTTTTCCTGTTAACAGAATGTCCCAGAAATGTGGGCTAGTCCGAGGAAGGAAGGTTATGAAGTAGTTGATCACTTTTTGCTGCGGCTTTCATTTTTGTCTGCAGTGTCGCTGGCATGCTCCTGGAAGCGTATTCTATAACTAGGGACTTTCAGTCTCTCTTCACCCCTCTTCTCACCATGCCGCTTGCATCCTACGAAGAGTATTTCCCTGAAAAATATTGCCTCAAAGGCCGTAGTCGCTTTTGTTGTCTGTTTCATGCTGTCTTTTAATTTTTGAAGCATCAGCGGCGGCCCTTGAAGGTTTGAAATGCTGGGAGGTAAAGCCGAATATAACACGGTTGTCACACTGGTAAACAGCATTATGAAAGCTTTGAGAAATGGAAATCCCGTATTGATGGCTCCAGAAACTACTTGCAAATACTCCTACCACCAGATGTTTGTGGTTTTTGTGCGTGTGTGACAGCTGTCAGGTGTGCTGGAACCAGATGATTTGTTTCAGACAAGCCAGTTTGAATGCCTTCTTGTTTTGATTCTCATCAACCTGCCTTTTTACTGCTGAGTTAATAGTAGGCTGTTCCTGGAGAAACCTTCTGCTTTGAGTTCCTCATCTGCAAAGTATGCATGGTGGTAGCTTACCAATGGGATTCCAGTTTAAGCTTGCTGATATTTATTTACTTATTCTGTTTTAAACAGTCAGAAAGTGAGAAAAATGACAGCGGCTTCATGTTTTGTATAAACCAGTCATTCCAAATGTAGAGGTGGTTGCTTACTTCAATGTCTTCCTATGAAAAATTAAAAAAGCTTCTTTAGAGAAGACTCGTCTTTATCATTAATATGTATAAGATTATTCCTTTAGGCTAAATCTACTATCACGATAGAAAAGGTCTAATTGCAATTTGCTGTTTCCGCCTTCAGTATTTTACAAGGCAAAAAAATACTGCTTTTCTGACTTAACATGCTATACCAATGATTTCTCCATACTCATTTTGATAAGCTGCAATTTCAAGCAGAGCTGAAGACAGAATTAATTTTACAGTTCACCAGATTTTGGGGAGGAAAAGAGAAACTTAGCTTCAGTTTTATTAACATTGCCACATTCATGTATCAATAAAAAAGAAAATAAAATAAGGTGTTTATTAGCGGGCATTTTGCTCTGAAGCCAGATCAAGAATTTCACGTGTGGGGCTTTAAAGGCTTTAAAACTCTGAAAACAAAACATAGGAATTTCTTTGTGGAACGAAACCTAGCTAAATATAAATGGAGCTTCTCTTACTATTTGATAGCGTTGTAGACAACCATGTTCATAACAGGGGTTTTTTGTGTCTTTTTCCAATCAGTAGTGGATAGAGATAGCAAAGCCAGTCCGTCTCTTGGCAGTAGGCAGCTGTTAAAAAGGCAAATGTCAGTCTTGCACAACTATTTGGAAAAGCTGTAAATAGGTACTTGTTCTGAAGATATTCGTGGGAGAAGGGAAAGCATAAATGTGAAGATAGTGTAAGAATGATAGCTGTCATCCTAAAACTAGGGGTGGGAATCGATGAGGGAGTGCTCTTCTGTCTGTTGGGTCACTGCCATACTCTTCAGATGCAGATAGAAGGGTGGTTATTCTTTTCCAGTACTCGGAAGTAATTTTTTAGGCTGTAAGGCAAGTACCAGCCAAAGCTGATAAGAAAAAGGAATAAAACTCTTGAGTAAGAATATTTGCTCTTTTCTGGAAATAAGGTCTTTTCACAGAGGTTTCTTGTTATTGCAAAGCTCTCACCTGAATTTTCCTCTGGTTGTCTGTCTACAGTTATTAAATACATTTTAGGCCAGTTTCTGTATAGAAGCCAGGATAGGATGTTCCAAATTATTTTCTTCAGACGTCAAGTTTCCAGTCATTGCCTGGCAGTGGGATTCAACTGCAAAGATATTCTGTCATGAACAGGAAATACTGTTACCAGAGTAGTCTAGGAAAATTAAGTTCCAATGTCTAGTCTCTCCTGTGGACAAATGGGACTCCAGAAAATAAAGTAGCAGAAAAAGTGTCTTGTCCAAGAGCTGAAAAAAGTTATTTCTTCTTTTGAGTTGTTAATATTTAAAGAGAAAAGAAAAAAGTGCTCTTTGTGCCTGTCTAAAATAAAATTTCACTGATCTGTTTCTGTTGTTACAGTTTATCCTGACATTTGCACCATTAGTCTAGTAGCTGTTGGGGATATGAATAAACATGCGGACAAGCTACTTTTCTGGGAAGATGTATATGGCTTTGACATGTCTTGTATGAAGAAGGCTGTAATTCCAGAAGCTGTTGTGGAGGTGCTGGATCCAAACACACTGATATCTACAGCCAGTGTCATTAAGGTACCATACTTCTTGAATTTTCCTTTTTTTTATGGAGGAGGGGGGAAAAAACACACACACACACCCTTTGTCATCTTCAAAATTATGCAAATGCAATAAGGTTCTTGGTGTTAAGACTGTAAGACTTGTATTAATTGCCCTTTTTTTTAACGCAGCTTGAGCTCTTAATTTTCCCATATTTAGATTGTTCTGTTCTACATTTTCATCTATCCAAACCCAAATTTACTTGTGTTTTAGTAAGTTACAAGTTGTGCAACTGAAATTTAAACTATAAAAAAAAAAACAAACAAACCTGAAATACAGAGTCTTTTTTTCTACTCTGCTTCCCTCTTCACCTCACTCAGTGTACTGAGTTGCAGGGGGGCTTCTTAGCTATTTCTGTGTCAAGCTAGCTGGCTTGGAAGATCTTTCATTGGAGGATCACTCACTATCACCCATAGCGTCATTCAACAGAATGACCTTGTCTGAAAAGGCAACGGTTGTTTCTGCAGCACTCATTGAATTAATTTTATGCTTACTTTTCTGTGTTGTCTTTTTTTATAGCAGCTTTGTGATGAGGAGTAGCAACAAAGTTGGTAGTGATTCATATGAGAGAACACCTACGTGACCAGATACAGTTCCAGAACACTGACTAGTTTGAAATTCTGATGAACTTTGTCATTAGTAATAATTTGAACAGTTCAGATCAAATTGAGAGAAGGACTATTATAAACCAAGATTTTTTTTTGTCACAATTATATTCTAATTATGGTTTGTATAGTTACTTTTCTATTGTAAAACACTTAAGGCAGTAGTATTACTGCCTTTCAGTAGGAATTGCCTGTTCTGTAAAGAGGTAATTTCTATTTGAATGCATTCCTATCCTATTTTATATAGAAGAAAATGGGTTTACATAATTCATCACTGAACTTGACGTGGTGATTGAGAGTAATTCCAGTCTCTTCCAGCATAGAAACTACTTGCTGTGGTCAGTTGTCATCCTGCCCACAAAAACAGTAACAGGTGAAGTACGGTTTTGTTGTAAGTATATCCTGATGCAAGTTATTGGTTAAGCTTTTCTTGTTTATAATTTTATTACAGAGAAGATTTAGAAGTATTAAGGTTTTTAAATTGGATATTTGAATGTAGGAAGTGCTGAGACTGATATTTCTTTAACTTGAATAACTACTTTGACCTTCTTGTGCATCTCTACTTTCTTTTTTTTTCTTTTTTACTTCAGGATTCTTTATTTGTAGACAATGAAGTCATTGCAGATGTGTCTTACATTTTATTCTCTGAGCTTGTTGACTAGACTCCCTCTAGAGTCAGTGAAATAAAATTCCTAAGGACACCTATAATAAGTTGTGTGACTTGAGGCTTACGTGTCTGTTTCCCTCGAGTGTAAGGAGAGGGTACAGTGATCAACTCAGTTGTTGAAATACACTTTGTAGACGTGTCATTATAGGGAAGATAAATTTCCCCCTTAGTGAATGAATGTGCACAAAACAGGGGTACTGAGATGAAGAATCTGAGGCCGTAATTGCTAGCCATCTGGCAGGTTTGATTGTGCAATGAGTGAGGCATAGGCACTGTTCTCACCTGCCATTTTTTTGGTAACATTTTGCATGTTCTGGTTCAAGTGGGAGTGTAGTTGTATACTTCTGGCAAATAGGTCAAGTTTGGTATACAGAAAATAAGTAGAGAACATATAACGTGCTCTAAATTAACAGCTGCATGGGTAAGTTGAACTCTATCAGTTTGTTAGGCGAGCAAATAAATTAAAACAACACCTTAACCTGGAGGGTGTTGATAACAATAACTATAGTTAAATGTGCTCAATGCAGTTGATAAGCTGCTGTCATTTTAGAAGCAAAATGCCTTACTGGTAATGGTACATGTCCCTTTCTAATATATACTGTCATGAGCAGTCACTGTCCAGCTCAGGTGTGTGTGCTTGGCAAATTTTGTCATCATATGGCATTTCGCATAACTGTTATGCTTAATGCTTCTATACTCATTTGCTCTTAGTAGCAATCATGATTTTTAAAATAACCTAAAGTCAATGCATGAGCTTGTTTGCTGGAGTTACAGTACAAAGCAGTAAAATTAATGAGTTGAGCAACAGTGGCGTTATAGGTAAATTGTTTTAATCAATAGCTATTCCACAGGACAAATGGAGTATATTTTTGAGGAAAAGTTTAAAAATGTTCCAATTTATCATCTGATTACTATAGAAGATATTTTGGTGTGTTTGCTCGGATTAGCTGCTGCTTGTTTTGTATAGTTCATAATGTAACTTCTCAGGAAGCAAAACAGTCCATAAAGAAAGACAAGGCAGCATCAAGAAGTATTGATTAATAATGTATATGACATTTAACTTCAGCAGTATATGACATTCTTCGATGAAGCATTTTAACTGAGTATGTAAATTAAAGAACTTCATACAGTGAAAAAATGTGGTGGAATTTTTATGAGCAACTGAAAACTGAAGCTTATTGTTCTTTAAAAGCTCTGATTTTATATATATAAAAATTAGAATATTGAAATGCAAGTTGCAGTTTGAGTTGACAATGTTATCGTTATCCTGGATGCTGTTGCTTTGTGTCAATTTCACAATAGCAAAGTGGTTCTCTGCCCTGTGTGCTATTTCTTCTTTGTGTTGTTGATATTTCACGTATTGATACACCACGCGGTTGTGCTGCCGTTCAGAAGGACCTCCACAGGCTGGAGAAATGGGTCAACGGGGGTCCTGCACAAAGGGCTCGGGGCAATGCAAAATCCTGCAGCTGGGAGTGGAGGAATAACCCCCTACACCAGTAGAGACTGGGGGCTGCTGGCTGGAAAGCAGCTTTGCAGGAAAGAATGCGGGTGTCCTGGTCAACACCAAGTTGAGCATGAGCCAGCAGCACGCACCCTTGTGGCAAAGGCAGCCAGCCAGCCTCCTGAGCTGCATTGGGAAGAAGACTGTCAGCAGCACGTCAAGAGAGGTGAATCTTCTCTTGTACTCAGCCCCAGGGAGATGACCGCTGGCGTGCTGTGCCCAGGGCTGGGTTCCCCAGTGCAAGAGTGAGATGAGTGTCCTGGAGTGAGTCCAGTGGAGGACTGCAAAGGGGGTGAAGGGACTGGAGCATCTGTGATATAGGGAGAGGCTGAAGGGGCTGGGGTGGTTTTGTCTGGAGAAGAGAAGGCTTGGGGGAGACGTTCTGAGTGTGTATAAATGCCTGGTGGTGGTGGGGAGTAAAGGAGGTGGAGCCAGAGTCTTCTGAGTGGTGGTCAGGGGCAGGACAAGAAGCAATGGGCACGGGTTGAACTGCAGACAGTTGCCTTTAAAGATCAGGAAACAGTTTTTTACTGTGAGGGCAATTGAACAGTGGGACAGGTTGCCCAGAGGCATTGTGGAGTCCCCATCCTTGGAGACACTCAGAAGCCATCTGAGCGTGGTCCTGAGCAACCTGCTATAGTTGACCCTGCTTTGTGGAGGGGGTTGGACCAAGCGATCTCCAGAGGTCCCTTTCAATCTCAATTATTCTATGAGCAATACAAAACTAGCCTGGCAAATCAAAAAAGCCCGATTTTAACCCATACCAGTTTCATACTGTAGTTTACCATATGGCTACATGAACAAGGAGCAACACAGGTGAAGATGCCTGTGAAAGCTGCTTAATCTCGGCAATATGGGCAGCTGTCATCAAGAGTAACTTTCTTGAACAGAGTAAGCTGCTAATATCTAGTTCCATACCACTACTAGTTAAAGTGTCTGTTTATTTTGGCATTTGGGGAAGAGGGGTTTTAGGTGTTTTGTCAGTGTACGAATAGGATTAGGTGGTTTTTAATTGTCTTCCCATTTTTGGAGACCTGAATTAGTATTGCCCTAGAAAAGCTGTCGTCTTATGGGAGCAACCGAACAGCCTTCATCCAAAGGAAGATCTTAATTTAAATTCAGCACTGTTACTGACAGAATTGTATTATTCCTTTCAACAGCATATCAACTGTAATACTGCATCCACTCCAGACTTAGAATTCTCTTCGGATTTCACCCTGACCATTACAACGAGCACAATGTGTACGGTAAGACAATTTTCATTTCTTCATATATGGTCAGTATCACATTGGACTAATAGGCAATGCATTAATTAAGCTTCATTTATCATCAGTCCTTGCCTTGAAACATTCATTTCTGCAGTACAGAGGTGTCAAATGAGCCCTTTTTGTAGAGAGATGGATGTAAAACTCCAGTCATAGTGTTATGGTAGAATATAGGTAGATGAGGAAAGGGAATGATAAGGAGCCTTAACATTGGGGTCGTTCTGTTTTGTTCTCTAGCCCGTTTTCTGTTCAGACATGTTGTTACCACTGTGCTCAAGAATGATGCAGTCCCTATTCTCAGAAGAGCTTTTCTGAGTTTAGTAAAAAGAGTGAAAAACAAAATAGATATGGGAAAGGTAGACTATAGCTCATGTAATAAACATAGAGCAACTTATATGGCAAACAGAGTTTCTCAAGCAGGGAAGTTCATGAACTCTACATGTGAAGGCTGAGGGGGAACAAATACAGCATTAGAATCTGAATCTGATAACCAGGGGGTTTATTGCATCTGTTTCATTGTATGCAAGTTAGTATTTTTACTTTATGTAAGTTAATAATGACTTACATTCAAAAGAACACTAATTCTAGAAAGGCTGTGGAATTTGATTGGAGGGGAGTTCTAATTACAGCAAACACAAGCTGCTTCATCTTAGTATTACAGACTATGCTGCATTAAATGGAGTGAAGAATCTTCAGCAAATCTGAGTCTGTGATCTCACTCGAGTGAGTATTATTTGTCTATCAAACACCAGTCAATGTGAAAAGAAAGAAAAGAAGGAAAAAAACTTTCATTCTGAGCTTTAGAATTAAATGAAAACTTAGTGCTAGGGCATCCTTCAAACACTTCTTTGAAGTTGTGCCTACATTGTTCAGTATGAATTTACATAAATACACATTCATTTTGCAACTTTTTTTCTTGGTCATTCAGTATCTGGTAGTTATGAAAACACAGGGAGAAACACTGATTTTTGTATTAATGAAAAATGTCCCCTGTTTTTTTCCTGCAAGGGCCCATGCAGTTTACGTTGCGTGTTTTGTGTTCCTTTTTGGAAGTATAAGTCAAGGAAGATACCTAAACAGTTTTATTTAACATATTTTGTGTAAGGGTGTGAGTGACTTCTGATATAAAGGTGTTATGAATGTGTTTAAAGCTAAAACAAATTAGGTATTCCAACATGAATATTTAAGTGTTTAGATTGGTACCTATCTGAGGATACCTTTTTGATTTGGCTTAGTTATGATGCACAGCTTGCTTTCTTTGTTGGAATAAGGAAGGAAAGAATCAAATAGGTGGATTTTTGTAGTGTTACTGTTAGGCAGGGCAGTTGGAATAAAGATGAGGTACAGATGAGAGCCTGGTGGTGGCTTAGATTAATGCATTGAGTTTTTGAATGCTAAATGATAAGCAAATGCAGGATGACCTAATTTTCACGGGTTTTATGATTGCATTAATATGCTTTTATATTCAACATCAGTTATAAATGCTTTCTACCGATTTATTCAAATATCCCCATCAAATTTGACAAAAGTTTGTATTAGGCTCTGAGATCTGTAGTACAAACTAAAATTTTCATAGTCTAGTGTATTGTGATACTTCTGCAGGGAGTTTCATCCTTAGCTTTAAGTTGCAGCACATCACAGAATCAAGTCCAAAGGGGTAATGGGTAGCTAATTTTAAATATATTGTGATAAGTCTGCTACAACTGGTTTATTTGTCTTTCGCATGAAGAGATGCAGGCTTCCTCTGATATGGACACAAAGAATATGTTGCTGTATAGTGTGGACGCTTAAGCTGATAACAAAATCTTGGATACCTATGTCAAGCAACGTACTAGCTGGTTTTGGATGGGCCTGTGGGTTAGTTTGTGCTGCTGCATTTACCACCGCTTTTGCTGTGTAACAGGATGCATAAGAATTTGTTGGTGTTAAAAAGTGAAGTATATAATTATAAAGTGAAGGTATATAATTTAAAGTATTGTTATTAGTGTGAGTTAGTAGCTATGTACAAATACTTCATAGTTATTTTCTCAATTATCACCAAATTAAGTAAAGATACAGTAACCTCTTGTTTTTTATTAAATGGAAATCTATATATTTTATTGTGCATTCACAAAAAAAAAAATCTCCTGTTTTTTTGTCATAGAATCATAGAATAATTCTAGTTGCCTCAGGGCAGGGTCAGCTTTGATTTCAGACCAAGCTCCAGTACAGTCCTGGGTTAATTTTCTTAATGTGGCCACTTTTGAATAACTGATTAGTTAAACAGAAATCTTGACAAAATCTTGGTGATCTTTTTGATGTTTGGGTAGAGTAAAATAGCTTATTTTGTAAACATCTTTTTCCCTAGCACTAGACCTTTAAGAAAACTTCATTTCTGTTCTATGAAATCAAGATGTACGCCTCCATTTTATGACTTCCAGGGAGAAGGGGAGGGAAGTGGGGGAAGAGCAGTGTTTCTGAAATTTTGCAGTGAATGCAGGTTCTAAAAAATGATCAGAACTCTGTAAAGTATTTTGCACTTCATCATTTAGGTTTATTGACACTTTGAGTGAAATTTCCACTCTTTCTATGATGGATTGTAGAAGTTTAGTTGGGGGTTGACAGTTCATCCATCATATCAGGCTGCCTAACCTTGCAGTAAATGAACAATAAAAGTCCATTATTTATGTTGAGAATTTTTGAGGAGATGCTTTAAGATTGCAATTTGTCCTTTGAAAAAAACATTTGATGTTTTTCTTGTTTGCATCTGTGTTCTGTTGTTCTAATGGCTTTTCATTTTTTGCACAAAAAGAGAAAGCTGCATATATTTCCCGAAATTCTAGCTTTTTGTACTTGTCCTGATTTTTGCATTTTTAAAATATGAACATTTTAAAATATTTTTACTTAATTTACAAAAAAAAAAAAATTCCACAATAATAAGTTTGGAAATCCATCCTTATATGCTTGTATATATCAGGGGTTTTTAGCTTACAACCTAAAGTTCATTGCAAGGCAGCTTTTTCTCAGCCCTTTCTGTGCCATAAAAGTGAGAAAACAGATTTGGTTGTCTTATTCCTAGTGTTGCCATCAATAACAAAGCTAACTTCGGACCAGTGTTACCATCAGAACGAGGACTCCTGTTAAGTGGTCTGTCTTTAAAAACCAAGCAAGTGGAAAGCTTAGGTGCACGGCGATAGGTTAGTTGTTTTGTGGATCCTGTTGCAGATCAGCTCCTAGTTTGCTCTGTGTCATCGGGTTGTGGGGAGTGGGTTTCCATGCTCCTTCTTTCCAAGGCACGGTGTGGGTGCAGAGGAGTATATGGTAGACATTCTTACATGGAAATGCCTCAGCAGCATGGAATGCGTGGTTGCTGTTGCTGAACTTGTTTTTGCAGAAGCTTAGCACTGATGGGAAGTAATTGAGCAAGTACTCGGAGAAAAGAGTTGCGGCCTCGTCTAGTTGGAGTATGAAATGTAATGTTCATCGTTGAAGGGCTAAGCTTTCAGCTGACAACTCTGGAGGCATTAGCCATGTTGGGGTGTGTTGCTTCCTCCCATCAACCTGTTTGCATGTCTGTGGTAACAGGACAGTAAGTTGTAAAAGCCAACAGGAATCAGCCATAATGCAGTCTTTTTACCAACTCATTACCACGTTTGCTTTGATTATGACTTGGAACACCCCCAGGACCCCTCAGGCAGGAGAGGCTGCGCTTCTCGTTTTTGTAGCAAGGTGTTAAATACCTTTAAAATATGACCTTAGTTTTTTCCTCAGTCTCTTTTTTTTTTTTTCCCCTTTAGCAGATACTCTTTGCAATTCGGTTTTTATTTTAATTCTCAACAGAGAAGTTGACCTCTTCTGAATTTCCCCGTACTTTATTTCTGTTCTTGTAAATTGTTCTGGTGAATGCTTCAGGGAGGATTTCATAAAGGCTGCTTCACCTAGGAGAGAGTTAGGAACAGAGCTTTTTTCCTGTTCTTTGGCGGGAGGGACCACGGGAAGATTAGCCTCTCAAGCCTAATGCTAACCTTTGGGACTTGCCACCCACCTCTTTCTCATCCTTTGCTTTTATTTTTGTTTTCCCCTCCATTTTGCGTTGTCACTTTTTAGTACAAACCTTTTACTTCCTGAAAACTGATAATGCAAGTGCTGAAATAGATATTTCTCTTCTTTCTAGATATTATTACTGTTCTTGCTCTTGGAAAGCCTTCTTGCTGACCTCTTGGCTAATTATCTGCTGCCACTTAATTGTACTAGAGGGTGTTTGAAAACCATGCAGTTCAGAGGGCAGTAGGCTAACCGTTTTCTGGTTTTAGATAAATGGACTAAGGACATAAATGCCCAGACTTAGTGATGAGCTTGTGCAAAATAGAAGAACTATGCAGTTCTCAAAACCTAAGAGCATAGTATTAATTGACGCATACCTGATTTGTCTGTTCTTCCACCTGTAAATTATTTTAAATTCCTTTCATACTTTTGTATGACTGAAAAAAACCCCTAGCGGCATATTAAGTCATGCTTGTAACCGATCAGCCTGATGTCTCTCCGTAGGTGCTTCCTAAGCGTATTGCAGATGATCCTGTAATTTATTGAGTCATATGTCTTAAAAAAAAAAAAAAAAAAATGCTTGGTGCTCTAAATAGGTTTTTCTTCCAGGTGTGAATTACATAAGTCTTCAGGAAAAAAAAAAATCCATATAAACCTGAGAAAAATGGAAAGATTGAGCAAAAATAAACATTTTAAATGTGACCTTGTATGTGTTGCTTAGTCTTTCAGAAGTTATTGTGGGGCGGGTGGGAGTCAAGGCTTTCTTCAGAGCACGTATTCTTTCTGTTGATATTTCTTTTATTCCTCCTGTGGTTTACCACAAAGTACTGTCTTTTAGCATTAAGTTTATTTATCATTATTTTAGCTTGCAAAGATTGAAGATTTTCAAAGCATGAAACAGTTGCATGGAATCATTATATGAAATTGTTTCAAAGCACTTCAAGTTGACTTGATTTCAG